CTCGCCCCCGGAAACTGGCGGGTCATTCCCCTCATCCCCAGACTCTGCTTCCTCCTCGGAAGACGTGTCAGTGGGATTAAGGAGGTCCTCGAAGTATTCCTTCCACCGCCTATATATGTATAATAAAATGATCTTCAAACTAATTTTAGAAGTTAAAAATGTCACACGTTATTCCAAAATAACTTCCACAAGAAGGAGGCCCTTCTATTCTACAGTCTACCTCACTTAATGGTGAGGTAGAGATTTCACTTTTAAAGACCATCAATTATTATCCAGAGTGTTTGAGTCATACAAATTTTTTGCCTTGGTTCAGTTTTTAGTAGCTATTAAATTTCATTTTACCTTGCTGCTTGGTTTAGGAATCAAAATAATTAGTAGTGAGGTTGAAACGTTCACCTGAGATGTTGCATGCACTTATTAAAGTAGCCAGAGGCTTCACACACCTATTCTGGGTTGTTTCCTGTTTATCACTGATGATGTCTACTAGCCACAGAAATGCAAGTAAATAAAACTGATATCAGAGATTTAACAGCCATAACATTCAAATCGAGTGATTCTGGATACAGGGTACTCATGTTTCACAAACATTTATATTCCCTTCATTTTGCTCATACAGTGTGTAAAAATCACAGACAGTTTCTTTCATAGGAAAATGTTACTGTGAAAAACAATGCCTGTGATTAATCCAGAGTAGCAGAGGCATTGTTTCTGGGCTGTGTTTTGGCTGTCTAATGTTTTGGATGGATGATTTCAGTGCTTTGAGGAGAGCAAACAAAATGAAAAAAAAACTTCATCTGCACTGCTGTGGAACAGGATTTTAAGAAAACCCCACAAATCCTAAAATTATTCAGTTATTTAGACATGATTCAATAAAGGTTTTCTTATATAGTAACCTACATTTCATTTAAATGGTTCTTTAGAGCCCTTTTGTATAGAGAGATAGATATAGAGCAGCAAGAAGCTTTAATACACAGTGTTGATAACAGTATGGATGATTTCCTGAAGTATTCTTTATGCCATCAATAACTGAATAATGTTGAGGAAGAATGAGCTCCGCTGCTTCTGTAGTGATGAATGGAGCTGATGTGACAGGTATCCATGATGGAGAGCAGTTTTTCAGTGACCTCTTGTCCTCACTTACTCAAACACCTCCAGAATGTGTCCAGTGATGACTCCTGCCTTATGAATTAGTTTGTTGATCCTACACGGCTCTCTCCCACTGATGCTGCCCCCCAGCAGACAACAGTAAAATCGCCTCCACAGTCAGGTAGAAGATCTCAAGCATCTTTCTGCACACACTGAA